CGCCCGCCGTTAGAAAATAATGGCACGCACAGGGCGACTGGTTCACACCTTGGCGACTCCTGACCGCACGGCAATCCGCGTGGCGAGGTGTTGCCTAGGTGTGAATAAATGGGCTGCCTACCGCATCTAAAGGACTGCTGGACTCCGTTCTTAAAGTGGCATTGCGCAGTAATAGATTATCATGGGCTTTGGTGCGTTCCAATGCACATGTGACGGCTAGGGGTGACGTGGTGTCATGCAAGGAGTTTGCATGTTCTTCCTGTGCTTGCGTGGGTTTCCTCCAGGTACTCCGGTTTCCTCCCAAATACATGCTGGGAGGTTAATGGTCTCCTGTTTAAATTGGCCCTTGTATGTATGTGAGATAGGGACCTTAGATTGTAGGCTCCTTGAGGGCGGGGACTGATGTGAATGTAAATTGTTGGCGCTATATAAATACCAATAATAAATAACGGCACTGCAGTGTGCCTAACAGTGCCTCACGTGCCAACACTTGTAATGTAGGAATGCATGTGGGAACTCGCCAGTCCCCCGCATTGTATAGATGAGAACAGGAGCTGGCACAGCCGACACCAAAACAATTGCGCGCGACACTTTTGGCTGCGCTGCAGTGCCATCATTTAATGGCATCCCAATGCACCAAGCTTGTGTCTGCATGTTGCGTCACACTACAGTCTATGGTAACTTATTACCACGTGTCCCCATTGGAAGATCTTCCCTCCATTTCCTGTGCTGCTGAGGTCTGAAAGTTTTGGATATGCCCTTTCAGTCCAGGTGACAACAGTCTCTAGATCAATTGACGGCGGCTCTCCCCGGTGTACACACCAATTAATATTAGATCCAACTACACGTGGCAACAGCTATTGGGTACAAATTACGGGTGACCTACACTCTGCATCAGTGGTGTATTTTGGATTTGTGCTGCCCTAGGCAAGACTAAACTCGGGCACCCCCCTCAATCTAAATTTGCCCCACTCCATCCTGTTTAGGACATTTTGTGTAACCTGTCAGTCACTGGATACGGCACACACAGGGTCTTAGGACAGCTGTGCAGGGTTTATAGTGGGCTGTGTGGGGTCTCAGGAGAGCTGTGCAGGGTTTATGGTGGGCTGTGTGGGGTCTCAGGGGAGCTGTGCAGGGTCTCTGGTGGGCTGTGTGGGGTCTCAGGAGAGCTGTGCAGGGTTTATGGTGGGCTGTGTGGGGTCTCAGGGGAGCTGTGCAGGGTTTATAGTGGGCTGTGTGGGGTCCCAGGGGAGCTGTGCAGGGTCTCTGGTGGGCTGTGCGGGGTCTCAGGGGAGCTGTGCAGGGTTTATGGTGGGCTGTGTGGGGTCCCAGGGGAGCTGTGCAGGGTCTCTGGTGGGCTGTGCGGGGTCTCAGGACAGCTGTGCATGGTCTCTGGTGGGCTGTACGGGGTCTCAGGGGAGCTGTGCAGGGTTTATGGTGGGCTGTGCAGGGTCTTAGGAAGACTGTGCAGAGTCCCTTTCCCTGATACATGTGCTGTTCCTCTTACCTGCAGCACGAAGTGCCATCAGTACCAACAGGATACATTGCAGTCCCCAGCCTGCTTCTGGGACATCCCGCCACCAGATCACTTGCTATGGCCAGCCCCGAGCCACCCGCTGCTTCTTCTCCACCTCCTGTACAAAGCCAGCTGGACCGCATCTCACTGGGCCCTCCCCTCCACCGGGCAGCTCTCTAATTTGGCAGCCACTCTTAGGGCCTTGCGGCTGCCTAGTTTGCCTTATTAGACAGCCGCCGCTGTCTGATTCTGTTCCCCCCAAGCCTCGGACCACTGGGCAGGTGCCCAGTATGCCCAGAGGCAAGTTCTGGCCCTGTCCGCATCATTGCTTTGAGGCGGCATTTTCTGCCGCCCCCCTAGGCATATGCCTAGTTTGCCTTGCGGTAGATACACCCCTGCTCTGCATTTGACTTCTTCCTGTGGGATCACACAGACTTCATGCTTTACACCATATTAAAGGTGGGCCAGTATGTTGAGACCCCCCGTCTCAACATAATGGCCCACAAGCCATTTGAGGTTTTGGTCAGTGCTGCAATGCCTCATGGGACTTGTAGTTCCACAACAGCTGGAATGTCGATGTTGCCTACCCTAGGCCAGGGATGGGTAACTCTGGCTATGCTTTAACTTCAAATTCCAACATGCTTCTGGGAGTTGCGTCTGTAACTGGCCTGCATGCCTCACGGGACCTGGTGGGGCCTGCGACGCCTCACGGGACCTGGTGGGGCCTGCGACGACCTCCATTGGTCTAGAGCAGAAGGTGGCAAATCGGGCTGTACTTTAAAAATCCCAGCATGCCTCTGGGAGTCATGCCTGTAACTGTCAGTCTTTGCAATGCCTCATGGGACTCGTAGTTCTGGAGGGCCGGAGTTGACCATGACACTGCGATTTTTTTTCCATTTTTAGATTTATTTTTAGTAAAGAAAGGAAATCTCCCTAAACTGGACTTTATAGTTCATTTTGTGCTTTTTTTTAATAATACTCTTTCTGTATGAGGTCTTTAGTTTGGTTTACTATACACTGGAGTTAAAAAGGAGAAAAGAAAAAAAACAGAAAAAAAAAAAGAAGTAACAAGATTCTGAAAGGCGGATCATCCACCGAAAGTAAACAGCACTGAATGAAATCTCCTCTCACACAAAGACTACAGTCTCTGCTAAAAACAAAAAAATCCCTTTTACAATATTGTACAGTACACAAAAAAAAAAGATAAATCGGGTTTGTCCTGAAGAAGCCAATCCAAACGACGTAAACATACAGGATGGTGCAACTCATGACAAATGGCAATTTTTCAAAAAAACAGCTACAGATTTTTTTTTTTTCTTTTTAATTTTTTTTTGTTTTATCCCCCAAAAGCAGGTGCGCCATCATGGGATAAATAAGTCCACAAAAATATTCTTTAAAAAATAAATCTTAAGAAAAAAAAAACCAAAAAATTAAACAAAAAAAACAAAAAGAAAACCAAAAGAAAAAAAAAAAAAAAAGAAAAAAAAACACCTTGAATAAATGAAAAGCAATGCTCAGATAGTTCCATACATTCTTGAGTTTCCTCCAAATTGACATTTGGGTCCTTTAGTTTTTTTTTTTTTTCACCTATTGCATGGCCAAAAAAAAAAAAAAATGGGACTCCTTACATATTAAAAGTTTTCTCAGGAGACAATCTCACTTCTACAATTTTCGACAAGTCTGTTTTGTAGCAGCTTAAAACATCATATTCCCCGGATTCCCAGGTCCTTGGCTGAAACCACCCATCCCCACATCAGTAGGCATTCCTCGGGGGCGCATCTGAGGGGGAATCATGAGGTTTTGTTGAGGTCCCATCATCCCCTGCATTGACATCAACATGTTCGGAGATCCCACAGGACCTGGGTGACTATATAGTACTCCGGGCATCCTCTCCTTCCCCGACATCATGCCCACCCCTCCCGGATTCCCCATCATAGTTAGTTGGCCAGGCATTCCTGATTGTGCTGGTGACATCATGCGATGGTGAGGTCCAATTAAGGTTTGCTGCATAAAACCTGGAGGCCTCATAGAATTGTGGCCGGGCATGTCCACTGGGCCGTGACCCCCCATGCCACCCATTGGAAGACCCATCCTTGGGTTCGGCTCTCCCATCATGCCAGGCAAGTGTGAAAAACCAGGTCCTTGTTGCGGCTTCCTGCCAGGGACTTCCCCACGAGGGAAATACTGCAGTGTTTGACTGGGTTTCTCGGAGGGAATAATCCTTGATAGGTCAAACTCTGGAATTCCAGAGGCCCCTGGTCTGATGACTTCCTGTAGGTCTGGGTCTGTGAAAACCGAAGACATATTATTTCCCATAACGCCAAAGGAATCTGGTCCTCCGGGGCAACCTGACTTACAATGTGCTGGGTCTGCATTTGGCGGAAGGTTGCCGGGACGACTTAAAGGTCCCTCTCCTGGAAAGCCCATCCCAGGTGGAAAGTTCCCGTGGCCCCCGTTGGGGCCGTTATGTGGAAAAGGAACTTGTGGAGGCGACTGGACTGGAGGAAAGCCTTGGGCAAAAGCCATGCGTCCCTGAGGCACCATGGGAGAATCTTGGTGGCCGTGACCCATCATAGCGTTGTGTGGAATCATCCCCCCGCCCATATGACCTCCGTGGGGTAAGTTGGGTGGCATGGCGTTCGGAGAGGGCATCTGGCCACCGTGCGAGAGAGGCTGCGTCATGCCCATGGGACTTAGTGTTGGCATCGAAACACCGCTGTGAGGCCCCGGCATCTTTGAAGGGTTCTGGGAATTCATGACCATCCCTGCAAAGAAATAAAGATGATGAAATATCTGGGCGGATAACAAGATTATTATTCCAGAAGACAAAAAGGAAAAATCACAGGGCCTCAAGTATGAAAGAAATAGATAAGCTGCCCACAGTATGGAGGGAGGGCAGAAATCGGGTTGCTATCGGCAGCGAAGAGCTTCTTTGGAGGACCTCAGTCTGCACATGTGTCCGCTCACCATTTGCTTCCTTTTGTTGTTGGCATCCGTCACTGAGCGGAGGAACTTCAATAGAAATGCACACTGGAGGGACCCAAAGATGTCACCTAATGCTCGCCCATTCAGGACGTTCATACCTCTGTAGAGCTTTCAAATACCTCGTGACCCCCCCCCCTTCACCCCAAAACATAAACAGTCAACAGAGCCTCCCCAATCCAAGCCGGGTATACACGCTCGTTCCTCTAACGCAGGGGTAGCCAAACGCCGGCCCTCCAGCTGTGGTGAAACGACAAATCCCATGATGCATCTCTCTCCGGGAGTCATGCCTGTGAGAATCTTGCAATGCCTCATGGGATTTGTAGTTCCACCACAGCTGGAGGGGCGGAGTTTAGCTACCCCTGCTCTAACGTTTACGAGTGTTCGAGGAATCTGCCGCTGATTGCTTTGTATCCCGACAGAGCCGGCACCTCATTGGTTGCTCGCTCTCTTCGGCCAACAATTTTTCCAACATGCTCCATCAAATCAAAGCTGACCGAGGGATGCCGGTCGAAAAGGTGCCGACAGCGGCAACCACGCATAGAATTTCGGTCGGTTCATCAAGAGATGAAATGCATCAGGGATGCATTTCTGTAGGTTCTCCTCAGCTTGGAGGTCTCAGATCTGTTGTATGCAAATACTGACCTACAGCTCCTCTGATCTACATCCAAGCCCCGCCCTCTGCTAAACCTCTCTATTGGGTCGTCACTGTGATGGCCGCCCTAACTTGCCAAGAATGAGGCTTGGAAGGTAGAAAGGGGGACTTGCAGGTTCTTGACCAGGCAAGTTGATCAACATCTGCTCAGGCCTCGTTCACACCAAATGCAGAGTCAGGTTTCTGCACACGCACGCTAGTCTTAGATGCGTTTTTGGCTAACAAAAAACATTTTCCTTTTTTTAGTTTAACACGGGCTTTCAGTGCGTTCCAGGCATTTGCATGCGTTTGCAGATGCAGAGCAGGTAAAATAGGGCCTGCTGCAGTTTTTTTTACCTGCTGTGGACCTGCACGCTGCGATGTGAACTGGAGCAAAAAATACCATTGGAATACATTGGACGCAGTTTTGATCCGGTCTGCACCTGCTCCGCGCTTGGTGTGAACTAGCCCTCAGTGTTCAGGACAAGGAACACTGACCCGACGTGCAGGAGGTGGCTCGTGTACTTTATTCATTCATATTGAACAAACTGTATGTAAACCCCAAATCGATCTTTTACTTTGATTGGCGTCATGTTTACAGTCTTTTGTGGAGAATCTGTTGGAAAGTTTCTTGCGTTGAGTAACAACTAGGGACGCACCGATATATCTGCCGAAACTGCCAGTTTCTGCCCGATACAGGGGTGCATCCATTCTTTTTCTCCTCCCTGCTGCTCTGTGTCACAGCGAGGAGAGAAACGGTCACGGATCTGCAGAGCGGTGTGGGGGCGGAGACAGCCAGCGATGTCACAGAATGCGGAGCTCTCCTGCCCGCACCGCTCGCTCAACCTCCTGTGACACCTGTCAAGAAGGAGGGCGGTACAAACACTCAGGGATCAGTGAGTGTTTGTAGATACTTGGACAGAGTATGTTTACTATATCCCTGATTATGAATGAATGGGAAGTTATCTACATCACTTCCTACTCATTCATGATTGTGATTATAGTAAACACACTCTGTCATGTTATGAATGGACAGGAGCACTCAGTACAGAGGATTCCTGTTCATTGATAACGGGGGCTGCAGAAAAAGAGATTGAAGACTCTGTGTTCTCAATCTCTTTTTCCATTGTAAAAAGGGAAATATCAGAAGTCTGTTTAGACCCCCAATATTTCCCCGAAGCCCCTAAAAGTAAAAACAATATATATATAAAAAATAAAAAAAATTAAAAGTTTATAAAAAATAAAAAAAATTAAATATTTTTTAAAATTAGAAATAAAACATTTCCAGTTTCCGCCCGACATTTTTTTTCATTTCGCTTTAAAAAAAAGTTAATTTCGGTGCACCTCTAGTAGCAGCACCGTCATAGGACGGCAACACTGTCCTATGACAGCAAGGAGTTACTTCCTTGAAATTAGCAGTAATGTTGTCAGCCTACCATTTTTAGATTGTAAGCCCTCACGGGCAGGGCCCTCCTTACCATATTGTCTTGATTTGTATTGTAATGTCTTCCTTATATTGTAAAGCGCTGCGCAAACTGTTGGCGCTCTATAAATCCTGAATAATAATAATAATAATAATGTGTGCTCCTTCCACTGACTGTTGAGCACGCACGGCAGGCTGACAACTTTACCAAGCTGCAAGATAGCAGCCAATTGTTAGTAAAAGAAAGCAACTGTGACACTATCAAAAAAAGTAGGGATGCACCGATACCGGATTATTACAGATACTGAGTACCGATACCGGTGCTTCCGCTGGCACGGAGCCAGCTTCCCAGGGAATCAGAAAGCCGGGCGGCGGGTAATGACCTGATTGGCCAGGAAGACGGCTCCATGTTGTTTGGCCGGCTTGATTGTGATTGCCCAGGAAACTGGCTTCTCGGCCAATCAGGAAGCCGGTTCATTACTTGCCGCCCAGCTTCCTGAGCATCCTGAACACACAGGGAGGTGGCTCCAAGTTCCCCTACGGCACTAGCAGTCAGAGGAAATCTTCTGACCGGAAGTTCCGATATCAGAGCATTGGGTACGGGCACTCGCCCATAATACTCGGTATTGGTGCATACCTAAAAAACACAACATTGATGGGGGCAGGCTTGTGTTCCTGTGCAGTGGTGACAAATGACAAGCTCGGGATTTCAGGAGACCGTTGTCAGCCCACTACAGGAAGTTAGAAGCTCGCTGGATTTCCGGCAGGTCAGAAGACACTTTGTTATACTTGCGTTGCTTAGAAACAGACAAGACGGGGCAATGAGCAGGTATTGCAGAGATGTACTTAGCGGGTGCAGAACAAAGCACAGAACGGAGATCTCACCACTGGTGTCCTTCAGCCATACAAGTCGGCAGTGGGCGATTCAACACACTAGGCGCCTCACAACCAAAATATCAGTTTTGGATGGACTCTTTGGGTAGAAAAGGTTTTGGCGGCGGCCGATTTACCTGGCATGTTATTCATAGACGGTAGGTTGGGTGAGCGGGCAGGAGGGGAATCGTCGTCCGAACTCGCCACCGTCTTGATGGCATCGTGGTAGAGAGGCGTGGAGCTGGGCATAGCAAACTTTGACATCCTAGACATCATAATGGAAAGAGGATTCTGGGAGAGGGTGGGCTCAGATGCCATGGAGTAGCTAGTGCTGGAGGGAAGACTTCCGGGGTGATTTATTGGCGCTGATTGGCTGACAGGTGGAGGGGGGCCTCCTGTGACCGAAAAAAATAAATAAAAATTAGAAAATGACCTTTATAAAACAAATCTAAAGGCCAACTCCATCCATAACTGATATTTCAGCGTTGTGTGACTGCTGGCGAGCTGAATCACATGCTGGCTTCTTATATCTTTGAGGTGCCACCAGTGGCGAGATTGTCCTCACCAGAACTCCTAGTTCCACCCAACTGCAGCGGCCATTAACAGATGGTCCTGCTCCCGCGATGGATTCTCCATATTCTAGACCAGTTAGGGAATCTAGCTGCTGGAGAGTGACACCGCTGCGTGGGGT